CAAAGCGTTTACCCACAGGTTCCACATTCTGAGGACAGAAATGCGAGAGATTATTTGTGTTATCTAATATGCTCTTCTTAAATGTTCCGTGAGAAACTGTGGAAACAAAAGAACCTACCATAAAACTCTTATAAAAGGCAGAGTCCATTGCTTTGAGGATGCTGCTGTCTGGTTCCCATTTTGTTTTACCCTGGTAGCCTTGGCCTCTTTTGTAGTTCTCTGAAGCCAAGAGTAAACTGAAAGGGTGGATCTTTGCCTGAAGATTTCAAGACAAACATCAAATACTCAAACTGTCTCATGTTTTATTAAAAACACAACTGTAAATTAATCAAAAAGATCTATAGTTCCTACATTCTCTAGTGCCGTCTCGCTCTGGATTCTGTCACATACTGCTTGTGTTTCTGAGCCTCCTGGTTCAAGAATTTTGTTTGACGTCATCTTACCCAAGATCCTCAGCACTGATTGGAGAGGCATTTCCTTTAGCAGTGCTCTCCATACCTCCAGTAGAAAAAAAAAACATGACCACATATTTCCTAACAGATCCATTCCAGATGATATACTTCCAATCAGTTTTTCCCATAACTAGGATTTATTTGTGCAGCTCATGCAAATATGTGTCCCCACCCATAATATTCATTATTTCTTTGAAGAGACTGCAGGGAAATACGGTTCAAAGTGTTGCCAGAATGGCACATTTTGCAGTTATACTTATAAGAAAAAACTGTTTCCAAATACCATATACACTGACAAAGGAAGCTCTCAGAATAATACCCTGGTTGAAATCTCATAACAAAAGTGATTTTTAAAAAACACACACACTCACCTGTTTAGACTTGAGGTGGTCTGTAAGCAGCTGTTCCCTCTCCAGTTTGTGTTCTTCTATTAAATTAATGACCTCTGTTTCATCACAACTGTGCTTGACCTTCTCCACCACTTCAAGATACGAGAGCACTTTGATAACCTCTTCGGAGTTCTCTTTGTCCGCGTAAGCAACCTGGACTTCTTTCCATCCTTTTGTTACATATTTGCTGATCAAGGCAATAACTGAAAACACAAAAGGTATGACCATTACAGTTTGACTTCAGCAGTCTTTTTTCATTTAAGTCATGATGTAGAGTTAGAACTTAAATCTTGCACAGTGTTAGGGTTACAAATGAAGAGGGTCAGGACAGATAGAACAAATATATGCAGTTAAAAAGACGCTGCTAAAGATGTTTTTGCTTTTTTTTTTTGCTTTTTTTTTTTTTTTTTTTACAGTTTAACTTGACAGCCATTTTTGAGGCCGTAGCTTGCAGTCTCTTTCTGTCAGTGTTGGTGAGTTTCTATGTGCCTGTTCCCTTTTCTGCTGGAGTTTTTCTCTTGATCATCATGACTTTCGAGGCATTTCCCCCTCCGTCTTTGCATACCTTTGTAGCATTTTCAATACTTGGTGAAATCAGTCAAATGGTGACTTTCATACTTTTATTAAGACTTGCACATATTGCTAACTGGCTTTTAACTTCACTGGCTTTCTGATTTGCAGTTGACACTGCCTATGTTGCTGATGGAGAGGTCACAAACACTGCACAATTGTTGCATGTAATGCAGAAAGGGAAAAAGTTTCTGAAAATATGACAATTAATTGATAGCCATTAGGCATGAGGCCAACAGTGACTTAAAGACACTAAACAGGGATATTATGTAAGGTGGGTAATTTTGCCTGTCCCCTGTAAACAGCAGTGAATAATGTGGGCCTGTGTAAACTCACCTTCATTAGTTGGTTTGGTATGAGAGAGCCTGAGCAGATCCTGGTGCGACCATCCCTCTCTCTGTTTACATTTGGTCACAGCCGCAGCCAGACTCATGGCATCTTGCTCATTATACCAGTCGGACACTGCTTTCCTCAGGGCACGTCCCCAAATCCCACACTTCATGCCCTCTTTCAATTCCTTCTTGTACTGGATGAGGGAAAACAGATGGGCAGGGTGCCGACAAACTTCCTTTAGGGCTTTGAATGCTGCCTGCCTTGTCTTCAGCTCAGAGTGCTGAGAGCACAAAGCCAAGGCGAAGAAGGAGGGGCCGAGTCTGACAGCTCTCCCATCCTGAGTGAACCTTTTTATCTCCTCCACCACCTCAGGACCCCGGCCCTCTTGCAGCAGGACGAGGAGGGCTCCGGCACTCTCCATGCTGACACGACCCTCATCCCTGGCCGTGTATATGTCTCCCTCCGAGCCATAGCAGAGGAAGCGGCACAGTCTGGTCTTATCGCTGACCTCCCATGGACAACCAGCACCACCTGTTGAGTTCAGGGTGTGTTTGCTTGATGCAGCTATTGTAGTACTTCCCGATGGCTCCATTGTATCACTAGACAAGGCCTGAAACAGAAAATGGTGAAGGGGAGTTTTACTCACTTTTACATTCGCTGGTTCATACTGGGTTAAGGAACCCTTTCTAACTTTGCCACATATAAGGTCAAACTGTCACTGATCAAATACACTGAAGTTAATGAGCCTCTTCATAGTGCTGCCGTGGGATAGGATTGAGCCGCATGGAAAATAACGTTAGTGCCACAAGATTGAGCTCCAGGAAAACGACAGTGTCTCCATGAACACAACATAACGTTGACTTCATCAGCAACATTACTTACTCACTGCCTCTGTGCACTGACATAAATAGCTTAAAGCCGATTACAGGACATGATGATACACATAAGACAGACACAAGCCACACTGAGCTGTTTATAGAAGATGGTACCACACATAATGTTTAAGCTAGATACAGCGAAAATCTCAGCTGCTAACTACCAGTTCATGTTGCTAACTTAGTTAGGCTAGCAAAGGAGGGCAGTGAGGGGGCAATATAAGTTATTTAACGTTAGCCAGCTGCCATTGCCGATTTTAACAATGTTATATTCATGTTTAACAGTTTTATAGCCAAGTAAGTAGCAAAAATATCCAGTCTATTCCTAAGGTTTCTTTAGCTGCAGCGGCATAGTGATGTTAGCCACCCGGTCTCCTCCAACCACAAACTATGGAGGTACCACATCAGAGCTTTTTCCTAACCGGTCACCGAAAAGCTGCGCTAGGCGGCTTGATGCAGCTCGCTTGGGATGGGCAGCTGGCTCCTGAGCACCGATAACCTTATCGAAACAGTGTCGGTTTTACTGCTAACATGCAGTGTTGCTAATGAAAACGTTTCGGTAGGCAATTATATGACATATCCACGAACTTACCACAAAATATGCGCACGGTGTTCAAGTTTTTGATGTGGCTAGACGCAGAAAGGCCTCCCCTCTGACGGTCAGTGAGCTAACCAGGGGCGGTGCCGCGATGGATGCTGGGATACAGAGTACCATCACATACACGACCACGACCACCTCTCCCTCTCCCTCTCCCTCTCCCTCTGTCTATCTCTTCCTCTCTTCCTCTCTCCCTCTGTCTCTCTTCCTCTCTCCCTCTGTCTCTCTTCCTCTCTCCCTCTGTCTCTCTCTGTGTCTCTCCCTCTCCCTCTCCCTCTGTCTATCTCTTCCTCTCTTCCTCTCTCCCTCTCCCTCTGTCTATCTCTTCCTCTCTCCCTCCGTCTGTCTCTGTGTCTCTCTCTTTCTCGGGCTAATAAAGCATTGATTTTACTGTGGCCTTAATTATTGTACACATTTGGATGCTTTTAATTATAAGATTACCATATTAATTTGTGTGTATATTAAGTGGTGCAATAGGTGTAATATTTAAATTGGTAATTTACAACTCCTTTAGTGTGGAGCACTTTTGGTTCCCACCTGCCATTGTTTGCAGAGGGACAGGTGTGAATGTTACAGTCTATTGGATGCACATGTATTGCTAAGAGAGCAGAATAAAGTTGAGTCAGCTGTCCTGCCGTGTTGAAGCCCACTTGTCACCCACAGCCCAGAGAGACTGGAGAACGCTACCGACCGAGAAATAAGGGTTGCGTTACTTTTGACCACTCACTTCACTCATAAGTTGAGTCCCACACAACAGTCATTGTACAGTGCATCTCCACCCATCACAATATTTGATAGAATTAGTGAAATTTCCATTCACTGACTCCCCATGACACCAAAATCACCTGGCGGTCAGTTACACACATCATTACTTCCCCTTCTACCTCCTCACTCTCCTTGTAAACTGAAGAGAATAATTAGAGCAGCCAAAGAGAGGTATGCTGAGGAGATGAAGGCCCATGACTCATTGTCAGTTTGGAAAGGCCTGCAAGACATCATCATAGATCATCTCCATAGATGACAATCAACTGGCAGGGGACCTGAACTTGTTCAGGTCACCTGCCACTTTTCCCCCCATTACACATCCATTCCTTGATCCAGTTCGATACTGCCATCTTTGAGTCCATCCTCAAATCACACCACTGTCTGCTTCAGTGCAGCAACCAAACAGGACATTCAGAGGTTGCAGCGCACCATAAACTGAGCTGAGAACATCACCAGCTTCATGTACCTATACTTTACTTTGTACTTTGCCTTCCACCTCCACTCTTACACAGTTTAATTATTGGTTGCACATGTCACATCTTGCATTTGTCATCTTCATGTATTTCATACACCTCACTACTTTCTCCATTGCACAGTCCATATATCATTTCGCTTTCCACCACTATCATAACTGTCTGTAAACGGATTTTTAATTACATTTACTGTTGATTATTTTAGAAATGTGATTTCAAATCGGCTGAAACGCCTTTAAAATAATAATAGAACCAACTTGTTTGGGATTTGTGGGATTTGCTGAGGACATATAATATAAATGTTCAGCTGGGACACAACTTCCATTCATTAAAGGTTACTCTTGGTTACATCTTCATAGTATCTTTCTTTTTTCTCATTATTACACACAACCTGTATAAGCTATTTTTTTCTTGCAAATATTGAGACCAGTCACTCATGATTCATTTTGTTTGTAAGTTTTCCAAGTCACCACTGGGTGGCAGTAGCACACCAACTGTACAAACACATGATGCAATTTTATCACACCCATTAAGATACAGTCTGTCCAGCTGACTTGTTAAGTCAGCTGAGCAATTTATTACAGCGCTCATGATGCATACATGTCAAAATCATATACATTTTTTTATGAACATTGTTCAAATTCACACTCACAAAATACACAACAGTCCTGCAGTCATGTGCAAAAAGTTTACACTCAAAATATCACAATTAAAAGCTACGGTTTTACTTTTGGTGATGGCCAGTGTTGACTGTGCACCAGATGTCACTGCCTGCAGCATGTTATGACCATTGCATTGGCGCACCTTTCAGTCTTGCCAGACATTATGTTATTGAGGTGACATTTTAAGGGAAGGGGAAGTGTCTGCTCGGTGTCTGGTCTTCCAGTGCTTCCCGAGGCCTCTCTGTTTAGAAGCTGCATCAAACAGGACTTTGTATTGGTCAGACTGGATGAAGCGTGGGAAGGAGCCGTTTGCCATCAGGCTGTAGACTTTCTTCTGTGCCACGACAAAACACGATGGACTTGGTTGCTGGAGACTCTGACTGATGATCTCTCTTGTATAGAAATCTACATTTATCTGAAAAGATAAGTAGAGTAATACATACTTAAATATGCAATTACAATTTAGACTTTTAATGTGCGCTACACACTGCACATTATCTGCAGCAGTCAGAAAGTAACTATTTAAAACGTCGGTTTCTGTGCAGTACATGATACAAGCCTTTTTAGGCCTTTACCTGCATGAGCATTTTTCTACAGAATTGTGTCTGTTCTCACTCTTGCAATAAACACATTGAATATTCAAGAGCAAACTAAATTGTGTTTTTCTTATACCATGCCTATATTTAGGTTTGAGCACATTCTGCTGCACTAAATTTCTTAAGCATACCCTTATGATTCAGTCCTCCAGCAGAGTGTATTTTTACCTGTCTGGGAGACTCAGCCCTGATGAACTCTTCATAAATCCTTGCTGCTCTCCTTGTTAGTTCCTCAGGACTGTCAAAGGTTTGAAACTCTTGACAGGCCAGCCAGAAGTCCAGGTTTTCCTCACAGAACTCTGACTTCAGAAAGTCCCGAAACGCTATTTGTCCACCTGTAAAACAAGAGAACATAACTTCATTATACAGAAAAAAGTAACCAACCATGATATTAGTTTTGTATTGCTTGAAAGCAGATGAAAATTACATTTCTGGGAAAGGAGCATCTCAAGAGATTCTCCCAGTAGGCTTGCTTCATTTGTTTTCTGTCTGTTAATGGAAGAAAGAGAAGGTTTTTGGCCTCATTCACATTTTAAAGAAAATATTAGAAAATTCAATATTAATATGCAGTATGATCAAATTAAAATCTACCTGTTGATTTTCCTCCATGGTAATGGGCTCTGGATGAAGTATTCTTGTATTCTTGATTTCCATGCATTATGTCTACAAGAGAGGAAAATGACAGGAATATATAAGTCCTACTGTCTCAGGTGTGTAAAACAAAAAACATTCAAAATAAGCCTCATTACAAATGAAACATATTGTACTTACATTCTGTTTGTGTCCTGGAGGTCCAGAGATGTCCTAGAGAGCCTGTTCATTGTTGAATTTGAAGTGCACTACCTCCTCGGTGAATTATAATTTGACAGTATCTCTCAGTATGCATGATACCGCTGAAACCTCAGAAGAATTTTTCCTTAGGTATCAGTCAGATTTCCAACTAGACAGTTTCATCCTGACTGCCTCTTCTCACTGATGCGGGTCAAAAACAGAGTGGAATCTGACTCTGATGTCAAGACACCACTGTTTCTCCCAGCTCACAGCACTTTCTTCGCCCTTGTGTCTTGCTTTCTTTAACCTCTGTTGACATGCAGACGTATTGTTGCATAATTAGAGGGAACCACATGAATACTCAAAGTGCGTCAAACCTTGTGCTCTTCCTTAATGTTCATTTATAGAACAGGACTTTGCTGTGTATCTCAACCCCCATCAGATTTTCCACAGTTAAATATATTAGGCTGCTGATAGTCTTCCAGTATTTACGTCATTTAGCTCACCATTCAAGTCTGTGCTATTCTTAGTCACAGGTCAAGTGGTCATGAGTTTCTTCAAGCACTTTTGCTTTTTCTTTGCCGCTCCCTTTATCTTTCTCAGTTTTCTTTTCTTTTTTTTTTAGACTCTTTTAGATTCTGTTGATTTCATGATGTTACATGAAATTAACAGCATTTTAATTGGGTTTTCCCTGACAAAAAAGTGAAATGTCTCTGTACAGAATTTATATTCATTTGTTATTAGGATCATAAAACACATTACAATATCAAAACTGGTGACTGGTTTTACATCACAAGTTCTAATAAAGTGGAAATTGTTTTCTGAAAGGGGCAATTCAATATCAGTCTTAGAAACTTTGGGTGAATTCAAGTCGATATTTGTTACAGTGGTTTAAAGGTCCAACCTTCAATTTCTTTGACCATATAAATTACAGGTACAATATATTTCCATATAGGAGTCTTTTGTTTGTCCATTTATGTGATTAAAGTCTGTTTTAATATTTTGTTTGCGAGCATTACTTTAGAAAATCTTTAACTTAGCTGTTGTTAGTATTAACATGGGACTGAGATAAGGTGAATGATGGACATTTTATTTCACTGCATGCTGTCTTTGGGGCCAGAGTAATAACTATGAAGTAAAACACCTCAGTTACTTTCTCACCAATCTGACAAGTACCTCTTTAGAATTTGAAGAGAAGCAGCACTTAAGCAGATAACCAAAAATTGGCTGAAACTAACTGCACCACAAACGGAAGGAGATTATTAATGAAGTTCAAAATGGAGATGATTCAATGCACAGGATTATGAATTCGGTTAATTTATCTGAATTTGGATGAAATAAGATTAGAAGAACAGACCCTGTACACACATAATCTTAGGTCTTATAATTAAGATTTCACTATACAGAAAAAAGAAGTATATATTATATAAGGGTTTCAAATGCGCACACTCTTGAGAGCTAAATCCAACTGCTTCTTTTCTCCATATTATATGTTTGTGTGTTTACTTATTGTAGGTATTATATGTGTCATTTTTTGTTGAGGGATGCAAGGGTGGGGGTGCAGATGGGGATAACAGACAAAATGTTTACCATCTCAGTTTAGCACACTAGCATGCTAACATCTGCTAATTAGCTCTTAATGCAAACTACAGTATGTTATTAGTTTTGCAGGTATTTGGTTAAAAAACAAACCATTATATTAAAAAAATTAAAGTTTTGACCTGATGATGGAGCTAAATGAAATTTGGATCCCTAAAGTTATTATACTTTATTCTGAATAGGTAAAGGACTGATCAAATTTTGTTGCAATCCATTCAACAGTTGATGGTACATTTCACTGCAAACCACAAATCTCAATCTGCTGGTGGCACTATAGGAAAAGTCAGGGGATCACCAAAGTCAGTGGGATACATTGTCTGGGCACCATGAATGTCTCTACAAAATTTCATGGTAGCTGTTCAGCAGTTGCAAGATATTTCATTCTGGACCAAAGTGATGAACTAGTCTAAAAGACCAACATTGTCAGCCCCACAGCCACACCACTAGCATGCAGTCCCATGCCACTAGCATGGCTAAAAATATTCAGGTCACAAGTTCAGAAAACTGAGAAACTGCAACTTTCACTGTTAAGTAATGATAGTTACAGCTCTTTGTAAAAATCTGAAAGTTACAATTACTTTTTTGTCTCTTTTTCAAAAAGATATTCAAGCTAACTTTCCACTTTGTTTAACCAATCATTGGTACAATTAAAAATCTGCACATGTAATGAATGTTCTGTTAATAGTCTCTCACAGTTAGAAATAAAGGGCAGTCAGTGAATGATGTGTGTGTTCTGCAGTAAAGGGAATGTGAGCATGAACTGTTAAACAGAATGTCATTGTGAATGAGATACTACAAAGGCCACACAAACCAAACAAAAACCAGTACAGACAAGACTGAACTTGAACATGAAACAAGGACATGATGCTCATGAATTAGCATGTGGTTTGCAGGACCAGACCGGACTGTGTTTAACAGGAAGTAGCTGTGAGAGTGAAAATCTGCAGCCTCATACACATTCAAAAGTGTGTTGTAAAGTTTTTATGACCTGAACTTTGAGAACAAGAAAAAGCATGCTTTCCATATAGATATGGTATACTGTACCTAAGACAACGCCATTAACAGCACATAGACCTTCATTATATGACAGTCAAAATCAACTTTGATCTGTTGGATTAACAACATGGTGTGTGAAATATCAGTAGTATATGCACTTGTAAAGATATCACTATAGTCCCCAACATTTTGGCATTGTGACACCTCAAAACAAAATCAAAACAATGTCTACTTATGACCCCTTGTTTCACTGGTCTACAAATTGTCACTAAAGTTTTATTTAAGAGTTATTTTCATTCTTGTTTAATATGAATATGAATTTTTATAACAATCATAAACAAAAATTAACCTATAATTCATGAGACAAAAACAGTTGTTTTAATTTTGAGTAGGTATGGAAGCCCGTTACTGCCACTTAACAAACAGACAGTTTTTTAAAATTTTTCTCACAGTTATGACTCATTAGCTGAGAATCATATGACTCAATTATGAGATGATGAGTTCTAATTGAGAAACATTGCATTATCTAATAATAATGACTTATCACATGATTTCATAATCATGATATATTATGTCAAGATTATTAGAAATCCTCTCATAATTGACTGATCATACTTACATTACACATTAAATAATAAGCCACTGTAAGGAAAAAGCTTAATAGTGGAAAAAACATATAATTGGATTTGGATTTGAATGATTAAAATGTTTATCACATTCTTAGATGGCTCTCTTAAACCAGTAAAAAACAAAATTAAGAGGTAGTTGAATCAAGTATTTAATATAAAAGCAAAAAAGTGAAAATATGGGCTTGCAAAATTGTCATATTTTATTTTAAACTAGTTACAGGCCGTATATTTTACCTGATATAAAATCTTGCTTCTAAATTCTTCCTGGTTTCAATAAAATACATGAAAGAAGAAAAAATTAAATTAGCTCAGCCACTTATAAATTTGACCTAAAAACCGAGAAACAGAGGACATGACTAAACAGGGTTGTTGTTTTTGTTGTGCATTATTAAGGTCATTGTTGAGGAAGTAGTGTGAACCCAGGCTGAACAGTGACACAAATCAGAATATCTAGGTCTGCTTTCACACAAGTGTTACACAGTCATCTACATAAAACCACTGTAATCACGTTGGTTTTTAGGCCAGGAGACCAGAATATGCTGCAAACCTGTTACTGTTTGATGTATAAATAAAACTTTGGTCAGCATCATCTCCCTCATCACTGTAAGTTTCCGTAGCTTTTCTGCACAGCTCTCACAAATAAGTCAGGAAGGTTTTGCATCATATAAAACTGTTGTTCTGAAATAAGAAGTTATATAACCCCTGTATACTGTAGGTATAAATATAGAGTCTCAATTTGCATGCTAGGCTTTGAAGATTATGGTCATTTGGATATACTTTTACCATGTTAGGTTTACATAATACAGCTCTGGCAGCCAAAAAGGGTAAAAAACTTTACAACATTTCATTTGCAATTCCTGTCAGGGCAGCGTGGTGGTTTGGCGTTTAGCAGGTGGATGTATCATTGAGTTTAATATGATAACATGATGGTCAACATGCATGGTCAAATTAGTTTTCCTTGTGTGGTGTATAACTTCCCGTCACAGTCCAAAGATCTGCAGGTCAAGTGGACTGGAGAGTGTAGGGGTTGTTTCCCTGTCTTCCATCTGATGCATGCTAGGAGAGATTTGATTTGAGACCTAATCCTATCCATAATACAGGGTTTTACTATGTGACTAAAGACACTGAATCAGTAAGTAAATCAGTAAAGAAAGTTTCAGTATCAACTAATTTTTTTTACCAAGCATTGATAAATATATTTGATATATTTAATGTTTTGGGAAACCTGTTCACAGATGAGGTTAAACTTCTGAATTTACCTACCTGACCTGACTTCTCTACCATCTAAAGTCGAAACACATTGAAGTTTGTTATATGTAGTCCGCCCCCCTATTTTTCTTTTTTCTTTCTTTTTTTTTAAACCGTTGACAGCACGGCTCTAGTGAGGTCAGTGTTGATCGGTTCACCATTACGGTCCAGACATCCAGCTGCTGGGTGGATAACTATGAAATTCATTCATGGTTCCCAGAGGATGAATGCTAATGACTTTTCCTCTGGTGCCACCACAAGTTTCACATTTGTGTTTTTTAGTGAAATGTCTCAAAAACTATTGAATAGGTTGTCATTTAATTTGGTACAGACATTTGTATTGTAATTCTAACAGCCTTGGTAATCCCTTAACCCTTGACTGAATGTCTGCCAAAGTAATGACATCACCATCAGCCTCAGCTGTACTTTGTTTTAAGTGCTAACTCACAGATGTTAGCAGGTTAACATAATGGTGAACATGGTAAATATTATACATTAACCTGTTAGCTTTGTTATTGTGAGCATATTAGCATGATGCTGATATTAGCATTTAGCTTGAAGCACCAATATGTCTAAGTACAGTTCACTGGTGCTAGCATGGCTGTTGACTCAGTTTTTCTCAGTGTGTGCTGCTATATGAAACTCTCTGTGACATCAGTTGACCTTTTGTTTGTTCCTCCAGATAAATGTTGTGATAAAAAAAAGTCCTGATGTCTTAAAATGGTCAAGACAAATTCTTTTTTTTAAAATGTATTGTGATCTGATCGTTCATACCACTGATGGAATTTTCTTTAACCTCATGTTTGACTGAAACTGATTTTTATCTGGTGGAAAATTTCCTCACAGGAACATTTTTCACCTGGCTCTGAAACAGACCTGGAACAAAGCCTCCTTTGTTGAACTGGTCAAACAACATCACACAGTAATCCAGTGACCTCCTGTATACAGACCATGTGGTTCCACAAGGATGACTTCTGTCTCATGACACCCATGGCAGCTGAACCTATGGCTTTCAAAACTGAATTTTCATCTCAATGGTTGAGTAATATATGTAGTGGATAGTGGACCCATAAAGGTTTATGTCAGAGATTTGTAGATATATGCCACACATTGCATGGTAACGCGAACATCCTGTCTAATGTGTGACCTCATTTTTTGGGGTTTTTATAGCTTTTCATGGTCATATGACTAATCTATAAACGGATCATCTTGTTACTAATAAACAGAACAGTGTAAATAGGGAAATGATGACTAGTCAGGCAGTGGTCCTTCTGTGTCAGTTTTACATTTCAGCTGCATCTGAGGAAAAATATCTGCTGATGACCTGTGTGAGAAATAAGGACGTTCTCATCCCACTGAAAGCTCTTTTGGCAAAAATATGAAATTACTTTGGTGCCTTTACACTGACAATTTGTTGTCTATTACCGTCTGAAAGCACAAAAGGTAATTCAGAAGCATTATTAGTTGTGTATGCGCGCCTGCCTCTGTGTGTGTGTGTGTGTGCTTGTGCAAACACATGGATGCACAAGTGAAATTAAAAGAGGATGTGGTGGAGCAGTTGGGCCTTAATGCTTCTTCCTAACTTCTCTAACCTTTAGCAGAGTGATACCTGATGGCTTCCCACAGATAAACTTCCTTTTTCGTTTTTTTTTTTTTGTGACAGATGGAGTTTCAGTTTTGTTCTTCTATTAAGAACAATTTATGAGGGTGAGATCTAATTGCTATTAAATGACAGACTGAATGGTACAACAAAGGCTGAATGAATTGTAGAATGACAGGAAGACCTCGAAATACATTCATAAGCATGAAAAGCCAATGACACATGAAAGGTTGATGTAAATCAGCAGCATAGGTGGGAGCACTATGTGACAGCCTGTGTTATTCATGTTGCCCATACTTAACTATTTCAGAGTGTCTGTAAAATACACACAAATCACCACATTGTCATTACCTCTATAGTCCTACAAGTTGAAAACTGATCCTAATTACAAACAACTGCAGTGCAGGCTGAGAGATGTTCATTTTATATTCTAGTGGTAACCAAAGTTACCAGATATGCCAGGCTGACATAAAATGATGTACAAGACCTTTTAAAAGTCTTGGTTTGGCTGAATGACACAGCCATAAAAACGTTTTTGAGTTTGAGTGCTTCACTCAGTGTAAACATCATACTTTAGTTTCAATGAGGAGCAGAAACTAGGTGATTGAAACAAAACATAAAGTACACACAATAGTTTCAAACAGAAGCAAGAGTTAGATGAGAGGATTCACTTTTGTAACAGTCTCGTTTCTATGCCAGCAGCTGGTTAGCCTAGCTTAGCATGAAGATTGGAAAGAGGGAAAACAGCTAGCCAAGGATATTCTGTGTTTGTACAGATTTTTTTAAAAAGAAAAAAAAAGTGACATAACGTGATAATTAGTGAACTTTAGAAGAGCCTGTAGGTGGAGCCAGGCTAGCTGGTTGTCCCAGTTTCTGGTCTTTTTGCAAAGCTAAGCTAAGCTAAGCTAAGCGACTGTAGGTTGTAGCTTCATATTTACAGTAGAGATTTAAGAGTGCTGTCAATCTTCTCATCTCACTCTCAGCGAGAAAATGACTAATATATCCAACTGTTACTTTCAGTAAAGAGTCAGATCAACATGACTAAGTTATCCTGGTACACGTCTGTACACACTTCTAAACTCATAAAAACTGCCAGACAGTAAATATTCTAACTGTGAGTAAGTCGATGAATGAATGAAAAAAAATGAATGAATGTGATGGTGACTTAGTTGCTTCGTGGAATGTTAAGGTGACGTTAATCTAAAGGTTCGTGGAAACCAGACCTGGTTTGTCTGTCTCTCTGATCCTGACTTTAGTCATTGTGGCACTCTTCATTTAAAATGATTTGTGTTACACAATTCAAATGTAATGTTTTTTTTATTAAATATGTACAAATCCATCTTAATATTCATATTCACAATGTTTTGACACACTGTGGAATATATTTTCAACATATAGCTTATAACACATTATGATAGTTGTAACATCTCAGTGTGACAGCACTGATGTCAGACTGTGATAAACAAACAAAAAAACACATCTAGATGCAATCTACTTATCTATTGCTTTAGTGAGATCTCAGTTAACTTAAAATAAGATGATGTGCAAATGTAGATACCAGCTCATGCACATGAATCATGGGTGGAAGGTGTTGTGTGCACCACATACACTTCCTGGCGTCTCTCACAGAAAGTCCCCAGCATTTTCATTACATAATCGCTTCATCTCTGGGAAGTCCTTTACTTTAGAGGACCACAACAGGTACAACCCCAAAACATGACTTCTCCAACTGAAAAGGAAGGCATGAATGTGTTGAACATTAGCCTACATGTTTTGGATGCTTTTAGTTAGAATCACCAGCAGTGGTCCCAATACAAGCAAACACAAACCACAGCTGCTCTCAGGTAGTCCAGCATTGGGCTCAGCTTCACAGTTCAGCTTCTACAAATATAATGTCCACAGTATCTATTTTCTTTACATCTTCACTGATTCTGATGTGGTGTCCATTAGAGCCCGGTACTTGTCGGACCTGAGGAAACGTGGATAAGAGTCCCTCTCCATTAGCCCGAAGACAATCCTCTGGGCATCGTCGAAACACACAGTGGTGGGCGCTTTAATGTTTCGCCTGATCAGGTCCCTGGTCTTGTGATCAATGTTGATCTGAAAGCAAAAGGACACACGATGAGGACCGATGAATACTTAACTATTAGCAGTATTGTGACAGTAACAGCTGTGAATCTGTCTGCGTTATAAAAACCTCCGTGTTTACCTCTCTCGGGGCCTCAACTTGAATGTAGCGTTTGTAGATCTTTTTGGCCCTGGATGACATCCTGAAGGAGGACTTGATCTTCTTATAGTCCTCACACACCAGCCAAAACTCAATGTTTTCATCACTGAACTCTGACTTCAAGAAAGCCTGGAATATCTGCATGCCACCTTAACAGGTAGGACAAATAAGCAGCAGTTAGCCAGTGTTGAGAAAGGATAACGAACGGATAACAACTATGAAACTTGACTTTGAGACTGTATTCATTAACTTACATTTGGATGATAGAAGTCCCTCGAGTGAGTGTGACCACTGGGACATCTCTTCAAAACAAAGCCTGCAAAATTAGGGTGTTCTGTCACTTCTACATGCAACAAGTATATCAACAGTTTTGATGTTTAGTTTCCAGTGCCGAGGTTGTCTTCACTTACCCTTCATTGTTGGCAGCTTGAGACGATCTACACTGCAGGCGAGACTTCAGGTTTCCTCCTCTGGTTAACCAAACAAACATTTATTTTACTGACATGTTAAAGTAAAAGATTGATCAGCAACGACATGAAATACTGTAGGATGTATCATGCATTGGTTCAAATAAAATATTTACCTGTATTTCCCCCTCTTCTTATTCTCAGTGTCCATGTTGAGGTGCTGCAGCTCCCTTGGTGGTGATGCGACTAGACTGGGCATGGCAACAGTGCTTTGTACATGTGAGACTGTGTGCTGAGCTGCTCTCAGAGAGTTGTGATAAGTCCAACTGTCAGTGTGTGAGGAACGCGCTCAGCCCCAACTTATATATGTAAAGCAGAAGTCTGAAATGAGTTTGGTGAGTAGCGTCACAACATCATTCTGCGCCAACCACAGAAAAAGAGGAAGTTAGGGATGACGCAAACATACACGCACTGCAGCTACAGCTGTATGTCTGTACTGTGCTCAAACCTGCATCATTACTTGTTTGGCTTAAAGTCTCGAGATGCAAATAGGGCAGTGGAAAATTCAACAGCAGATAAGCAAATGCTTTGGTCTCTGTTCTTGTCTGCTTTGAGAACCAATGCTAGACACCAATGTTTCAGGATTAGTGAACTAGATGCTGGAGTTGTTTCAGCCATCCCAGCATATCAGCAACAAGGGGGGTGGGGGTGGGGGGGGTCAGTGCTTGTGCACAAGACAAGGAAAAGAAACAGAGAAGAGGGGAGATGCGCAAAAGGGGGCAAAGGGAGTGAGAGGTGCTAAATCTGGCACACGCTAACAGATAGTGCCAATTAAATGATTCTACCTTTCTGTCTCTGCGTGACTGGGGGAGACTGCAGATGAGACACGATGCAGAGACCGGAGGGGAAGGCAAACGCATGGATGAAATTTCTATCAGTGGGGGCGTGATGGCGGATTGTAGAGGAGAAGGTCAGAACAACTAAAATTAAAAAGGGGTGCTATGATCAGGCAATGGCGAACAGCCGCATTAACATTGGAAAGGCTTTCCAGTGTCGGAGACTGCATGGTTGGACTAGGAAAGAAATTCTACTCTACCTTTAACTAACCAAAAGCAAAATATCAATGTTTTTTATTTTGGGAAACATGCTTATTTCAGAATCCCTCATCAGATGATGAGATGATAAGATTGATATCACGCTTATGTCATGTACTTATGAATCTAGAGCCAACAACCAGTTAGCTTAGCCCACTCACTCTGTGGGAGACACTCTTGACTTAGTGTTGTCATATAAGGACATATTTGACCTTAGTCAGTGGAAGCAGACAGGAAGTAGAGGGGGAAACAGAAAGTGGGGTGCCATGTAACAAGTGTCACCCACCAGAACCAGACCAGGGACCTGTGGTTCCATAGCAGGTGTCTTAGACCACTAAGCCACCCCACTGTTTCCATTTTAGCTTATAGTCACAGAGGACTTAATGCCAGCTCTTTGTCCCAGACAAGCTACAAATGACTTATTCATTTCCTGTTTATATGTTGACAGGAGGTTTTGAAAAAACAAAAACTTTCAACTGCAGTCTGGAAACTCTCCTGGCCTTTTCAAGAATCCAGAGGAACATAATCAGTCCTTAAACATAAGTTACTCATATTCACTTTTTATTAAATCTATAAATGTGTCAGGTGTGGTTCCTCTGTTTTGTTTCCCCTGTTTTACTTCAGTTCCAGTGACATAAGCAGTATTACACTGATCTGAACTTTCCAAGTTTTTAGGCTGAAATTGCTGCAGATCAAGTTCTGTTTTTTTTTTTAATGATAATTTGTTTTTAAACCTTCTTAAAGCTCTGATCACGGCACCTCTCTTGATACAAAAAGCATCCATCGTCCTTCATTACTTGGATTCTTGAAAAATGTCATTGCCTTATTTTTATTATTATCATTATGGACCATTGCTTTACAATGTCATATCTCCTTTAGTATGGGCCCTACATACACAGTATATCAAATTAACTTCTGTAGTGAATTAAAGCCACAATAGAGTTTTGTTTTGTGGTTTTTAATCCAAAACTGGCGCCTTTCACTCGTTGTTTGAAAAATAAAAGTTTTATTCATTCAGTAACGGAAGTGATGTCCATTACTGACTGCCACACAGTAAACATCATGCATGTTCCTGATCCTCATAAGTGATGCAGAATGCTTGAACTCCCATATCTTCAGTCAACTTGGTCCAATTTGTTATATGGTCAAGTTGAAATCTGGTGTTGTTTATAATAATATCCTCAGGCCTGGGGGAAGGTTCAAAACAGTCGGCAAACCTGTGGAGTGTTCATCTCTGCAAAACATCTGGACACTTTCATAAATGCTTTCATACATCTCGAGTGGACTAATATACTCTGACTCTCTCAGCTTAAGACAATGGTAAATGTGTCCCACACTTGGTCTGAGTCATGAAGTGCTTTACAGAGCCATCTTTAGAGCCATGCCGCTACCCTGGCTAAAAACCAGCCTCTGGAGATTAAACCTGAAATGTTGTTTAGTCAGAAAACGTATTTCAACAGGTTAGCTTGCTATTTTTGTCATTCTTTCAACACATTTACTTTTCATTGTGTAACCTTTAATTAATCTTGATACATTTGATTCGCCTACTTGACCTCGATGTTGTCCCACTTTTGTATCTCAATCTAATTTTTGTTTTGCTTTCATTTCTTAATAACAGTGCACTTACAGGAAAGTACAAAAAAGTTAGAATGTGACTTTGACAACAGTAGATGTAGGGATGATGTTCACTGTGAATACCTACGATATCTTAAAACCTTGCAACCTTGGCAAACGTAGTGGCTTATACATTTACATAAACACAAAACATACCCAAGTAAAGTGTTTGAGTGAATGACTTGCTTTTGAACCTGAGGCGAGTACTGTGTTGTTTAACTGTCTTTGCTCATGTGCTGCTCGACAGGAAACGTTTTGTGATAGAGCGCAGCTGTTGGTGGCTTGATGCAGTGACAGTTATCTCAGACATTTTCTTTATCAGTTGCAACACCCATCTGTGAGTTTCCTCCATCAACTGTTGTCACTCTGAAAATTATAACTTTGCTCAGTTTCTGTTATTTTTATGTCTTCTTCACATCCTGCAAGCAATACCTTCAGCAGTTGCAGCCCTATGCTTTCATACTTATGAGTTCTGATTAAACACAGATTGTCAAACACACTTTTTTTTTTAATCAGCAGTAACCAACAACCTTAACAATCCTCCCACAGAGAATCAAGTGAAACCAGGGTAGTCTACACTAAGGGAAGTTGCGGTGAACTGTCTGCACAACACAGATCAGTTTATGCCAAACATGACAAACATCGCTTGAAATAAATCACCCCCACATTTAATGCCACCAACAAAAACAGAACAAACTGTTCATCTAACATGCAGCAGTCACATGCAGGAACCATGGTGTGTCTACTTCCACTTTCCAAACACAAAAAACACATCAGACAATAAATACGTTAAAGGGAACAATATTTTAAGTATTTTATGCCTAATGTTCTTTTAATTTAAAATCCTATATGTTCCTAGCAGTATTTTCCATGAGAGTCTGAACATTTTGTCTAAAAGTAGTATGGAAACCCTACTTTATTCTGCTTGTTATTGTATTCGCATGTTTTTTACATTGATCATTAGTTTATACAATTCAATACGCCCTAACGAGGAAAGAAAAACTCATGAAATACTATCTCAAACTATCTAATACTACCTAAAACTCTGCACGACAAAACCTACGCTAATCTTATTTCGAAGGGAGATTTACATAAAGCAAAGTGAGCTTAGTGAGAGAGGCTTTTTTCCATCTCATCAGACTCAAAGTTGTGTCTTGAATTCCCTCAGATGCTTTTTCATAATGAATGAATTCGCCTGGCAAAATGAAACCAACTGAATTGCCACCAGAAGCACAACCCCGTATCTCCCGCCCTGCCACCCTGTGTCTGTGTAACTTCGAGCAAATTTCACTCAAGACAGATTTGATTCATAAAGTTCCTCGTCTTTGTCATGCTTAATGTATAGACTTCTTCCATCTGCAGGGGGGATGTTGCAGAAACACACCACATTAGGCGAAAGGAAGTTGCCTCAGAAAGTGACATGACTGTGAAACCGGTTTTCATGTATCTTTTTGGTTACAGTTGTGTCTTCTTATTTACTGAATGATGTTACCTGAAGGTCTCTGTTGCCATCTGCTGTTTATGTGACTAACGACCACATTACAATACAGACAACTCTTCTCTGACAACAACCCAGGTGATTTGCATTACATTCAAAAAGGCCACACCCAAATGTCATTCAACTGAATATATTTTGTTTGTAAGATATCTTAAAATCTACAATGACAATGGAGAAGAAAACAGCGGATAGAACACACAACTGAGACAGAAGTTTAACAATACACTTCACATATTTATTTGCTTGTGAATGCTGAAGTTCATAAGAGCATATTTGGATTTATATTTGCATAATCAATTAGATAAAGTGTTGATAATACTTTACAATTAGAGAATTCTTTCTAATTTCTAACTTCATGGGTTGGTGGAAATAAAACAGATAATCACAGAAGAATTATGTGAACAAGATTTTTTTTTTCACCTTAACATAATTAAAGAGATAAAGTATATTACAAGCCACAAATTCTCTTGAGCTGTAACTGTCTACTGAATCACGCAGGCTGAGAAAAGCTATTTCTGCTACACCTAGGATATGGATGGTATGGCATAAACCCGTTATCCACACTGAAATCAAAGAGTGCTACAGCAGATCAGAGTCGGGGAGAAGATTTCGCCAGCCTCCATCTGAGAGGCTGTCAGTTTTAAAACAGTCACCTTGAATCGGTTCTCCTCAGGAGTCCCTGATAGATGTCAGATTTTAGGAACCGTGGGTAGCAATCCCTGGCCATCAGACTGTAGATGAGCTTCTGTGCTGTATCAAACGAAGTCAGGGTCGGCTGGGAGATGTTCTTTGTTATATTTTCTCTGGTACCGCAATCTATGTTGATCTGGAATCAAACAATATTGCCCAGGGGTGTATTACAGCAACTCTTTTCATCTTTGTTAACTCCAATATGCTTGGGGGAAATAACTTGAGTGTCTTTAAAGTAGATTTCTGCAGTTTTACCACCATAAAATTCACAAATACACAGTTTTATTGCAGCTAATAAATCACAATAGGCGTATTAAATTCAGATTACCATCAATGAGCATCTTGGTGCATATTTCCAATTTGAATTCCTAAAATAAATCTTTTTTTTTTACAGCTTGCAGTCATTTACCTGTCTGGGTGCTTCTGTTTGGACAAACTCTGAGTAGATCCTGTTGGCAGATGAGATCATCTCTGGGTCGGTCTTGATTTTTTTGTACTCCTCACAGGCGAGCCAAAACAGTATATTCTCCTCACTGTACTCGGACTTCAGGAACTGCCGGAAAGCCATCTGTCCGGCTGGAGACCGCAGATGACAGTAAGTAGGTATAAAGTGTATACACAGACAAATATATATTAGATGAGACTCTCACCTTTACAACCGAGGACTTTGTCCACAGACTCACTCCAGGTCTCAATATCCTCCAGTGGATCCTTGGGAAAGCAACACAATCTACCCTTGAAAAGATCATCAAGATCTATCACTAGCCCAGTTATCTGTGAACTCCACAGCACATACCTGTAAACCACACTGGCAGGCCAATTCATTAATCATTTAAAGTGTGTTATATGTTTTAAGATGACCTGTAAACATTCAATTTAATGCATTGAGCATCCTCCAAGAACTACAAGCCCCTGCAGAAATAAAGGCACAATGCAAAGTGAGACTTACAGTGAGTGAAAACCTCCTTGGTATTTTCCACATGGCTGCTGTAAGATGCTGCCTGCTGAAAATGGTAAAGGCCCAATAATCAAATATGCAGTAACTCACTTTATCGCCATCTCCTCGTCCTCTACGAAGGGAGACAGAGATAAGATCCTGCCAGACTGAAGATGGGGTTGTGATTGTTTGGAAATGAGGGAGTCAAGTGACTGAACAAATCTAAATGACTCCCCCACCCATCCAACATGAATGGAATATATGGAAATCTGTATGCAAAGTGTTGTTGTTGTTAGGAAAGACAGGGCATCCTTCCATGTGTGTCACACTTCAAGGAACAGAGAGCTCGGCTGTGATTAAAGCTGACCTCACCAGTGTCCAGAACAGTGATCATCATTAACATGGATGTGACATTATGAGTGAGGAAGATGAACATAAAGAAGGAATAAGTGAATATAATCAAGATGACTCAAACCAATGAATTTCTAAGAATCAAATTCTATATTTCTTTTAATATTTCACCACTTAACAAGAACTAAAATCCAGGTTTTATAGTGAGGAATATGGTAACAGACTGGGCTGTTGTGGTAGAGTACTACGTGTCAAATTCAGGATAAGGTTTAACTAAGGCAATCAACAATGGTCAGGAAGCTCCGGGATCCTGACCATAAACAAATGACCATAAACAAATTCACTATTAAGGAAAAGGCTTGTTCTCCTGCTATTTTCATATCTGCGTTGTTTCTAATTCGTCATGGTGACGAAAACATAACCAAGCACTGATTTATTAATGTGCGTCTTACTATACCTTCAGCTGATTCAGGTGCTCACCGACCCTTGAAACAGAAAAGCTGTGATTTGGACGGAAATTTTGCGTGTCCCTAAATTAGTCAACCTCTGGTGCACATGTGGATTGACAGAAAACTAAAAGTCTGGAAAAAGCAGCACTAATGTGAACATGGCTAAAGCTTCATTTGGCCTGGATTTATTTCTCCAGGTGAGGTGTGATGACTTAATTTTAATCCCATCCAGAGTGTGCATGTGGGTAATTTTTCACTCCCACCAAAGTAATACTTACAGTTGCAATTACCTTCTGTTTTTTCCTGTGAACTCGCTGGTCCGCCTGTAATTTGAATCCAAGAGTTTTGTCCTTGAATTTTAAAATGGATCTCAGAGTTTTTTTTGAAAATGAAGATGACACAAACGTTTTAATGTCAACATAACTGCCCATTTGGGAAACACTATGATGACAGCGATAACGGGGTTAACTTAAAGTAATCAGGTGACTGAGACTCCACAAAATTTAGTAAGTAGGTATTTTGGTTTGACCTGCTGAATCTCTGTTACAGATTTCATCCTGTAATTTCACTGTGGTTAAAATGCTGTTAAGAATAAGGACTGAGGAGCAATTTTAAATAAACAAAATTCAAAAATTCCCCACCACTCATAACGTGAATCCAGTCTGAATGGGGCTGAAGTGACTGGAGTCATGCTAGCAGCTGTTTGAGGCTATACATAGGCACAACAATGCTGCTTTAGGCTAAATGCTAACACAAATTATTTGAATGAACATGAATTTCCGATGCTCGCAGATGAAATGTTTACCATGTTCACCATCTCTTCTCTTTGCATGTTATCACGCTAACATTTGGTAATTAGCACTAGAGATAAAATACAGCTGAGCCTGATTGATTGCAATTGGTTTAGTGAGTTTGGTCATATCAGAAAAATGGATGACAATTTTAAGAAATCACCATAGTTATTACAATTCATCTTAACCCTCTGAGGTCTAATAGTGTTTCTACATTATTTCTTAAAAAACTTGCATATAACATGATATATATCACAATTTAATCTGCACTGTCGCAGCTTTTTCTGTGACCCGCACTGTGCAAAAAGATCATTCAGCCCAAATGCTGAAAAACTGAAGCCCGGTTTTTGAAATTCTCCAATTGTCCAATCTCAAAAAATAGTAGATTGCTCTACTATTGTCCCTCTACTTTAACCAAATGTTCGAGGCCTTCCAGCTCTGCCTATGAGTCACGCACAATCTCATAAGAATATGAACCGGAAAGTGGAGAGTCAACAAATTCTAACAAAATTCAAACCATATTTCTACGCTGTATTATCGCTAAGATAGTAATAGAAACATCCGTCGACCACAGAGAGTTAAGGAGCACATAAACGTCTCTACCCGTAGAATCTGACAGTTGCTTAATCATTTTAAAAATCAAAAATTCATGGTCAACTTCACCACAGTCATTTACATTTATCTGGGGACCAGGAAAATCTTTACAAAACTCTTTTGCCAGTTTAAACAGCTGTTGTTGAGATCTTTTATGGGCCAAATGAAAACTTTGACCTGCTGTTGGTGCTAGAGAGAAGGTCAGGAGAGAAAGTCATTAGGATTCATCCTCAAGGGGCCATGAACATTCAAAGCTTTTGAAATCTCATGGCTATCCATCTGTTTCTATTTCCATCTGGACCAAAATGGTGGACTGACAGACAGCACTGATAATAATGATAATGTATTTTGATGTCCATTATTTTGCTAAAACTTGAGGGTAATTTTGCTTATCGATTACAAGAAAATAAAAATCCTGAAAAATGACCATTGCTCAAGTGAAAAACAGCTGCCCTGTAAAGACTTGAAGAACTAGAAGAATTTTCTCCTCATTCCTCTACTCATTCACAGTCTATTTCCACCAATGGATGTTTACTTCTTTGATTTAGTATTTACTTTGATACTGTTTAAAACAGAATGTGTGGCATACTTTACAGGGTATGCAATTACATATTCTTGTGATTTAAAATAGATGAACAAGGTATTTCTGACTTGCCACTGCATAGTTTCAGAGAATAGCATCATGTGGAAGAGTGTCCTCTGCTCCTCTGGGTCTGCTGGATGTACACAGGTCATGACACACAGTGAATTGTAATACATATATCATCACATGCATGTCCTGTCCAGTGTAATTTAATTTAACCTGTCCTGACCTTGCTGACCACTGCTCGAGATGTGATGGGGCCCAAACAAACCAAGAATGTAAATCACAACAGGTGATGGAAAACTCCCAGGCTGCCCCTATTTGCATGTGTGTAGATGCACCAAGTTGAGGAATTTGTTTTTCAAAAAAGGCTCTGGCAGGAACAACATGAGGACTACAGAGGAGTGCAGTCTTTTTTCATGTTATGATTCAGCCTCTCATGTCCCTGAATCAAAAGTGCCGACCATCCAAGGACAAAATAGACTTCATGCAACCCTGAAAAGCTTCATTCTGTAAAAGAGCAGTGATTCATTTTCATACATTTGAAGTGACATGTCTCACTATTGACACAGTAATTCATTGTAGCTTCATGCCAAGTTGTACTTTTTTCATCAAACACAGGGTGGCACTCCAATCCTCTCCAGCCCTCGTATTTCTACTATACAATTCCCTCATGTGTCCACCTTTCTCTGTAATTGGTGACAGCGTTGAATCTGTGTGTTTCTCTTCACCGCTGGCCCTGGTTGCTTTATTCATTTGAACATGAATGGGGTTTTGACCCTTCTGCTGAGGCTGCGCAAGTCCCGGACTGCAGGGTGGAGGTTGTTGTAGAGTGAAGATGTAACCGAAAACCTATTTAAATTAGATTTTGAGCCCCTGAAAAGGATTCAGTAAGCATACATTTGATTAGAAAGTGCCTTGTCTCTTTCTTTCGACTAGTATGGGATCCTCAAGTGACCCTGCTTTCTTTTTTTTCTTTTAAATCTACTATAACCCTTTCAGTTGGTAAAGTTGGGAGTTACAGAATCTGCTGCATTTTCTATGGTATTTTAATAAACTTTTCCCCAATTTTCACTGATTAACAAACTGCTTTGAAAAGCATGCACAGATGGGTTAGAATTAGTGATTGTTTGTGACATACAGTTGAGGAAAATAGCATGTCAATACAGGCCCAGTGTCTTCACTTGGTTGAAATGGTTTTCATGCTCTCGCCCTGCAGAGGCTGCCATGAAGAGTTATTTATAACCTCCAGAAACTAACACTGAAAAGAAAAGGTAAGTGAACCCTTTGGAATTGTCTTCAAATGTGGTCAGATCTTCATCTCAATCTATTAACACACGAATCACTGTACTGTTCTTGTCCATACCGAATACATAATTGAAATATTCACAGTGTAGGGTGGACAAAGTATGACAAGAACAGAGTGGGCTAAGATGACTTCAAAAGCACAACGCAAAATGCTCAGTAACACAACAAAGAACCTCAGAGTAACAGCTAAAGTCTTAAAGGAACCATTAGAGTTGGTTAACATCTCTGTTTATGAGTCTACCATATGCAGATCATGGTGCATGCTGCATGGTGTCCATGGCAGGTCACCACGGAGGAAGCCTTTTCTCTTCGCTTGACACTCAACACTTTTTGGAAAATGTTTTGTGGATTGTTGAAACCAAGGTTGATTTGCTCTGGAAGAACATGGAGCACTGTGTGTGGTGTGAAAAGGGCACTGCATACCAACATGATATGTATGGCGGAGGGAGTATCAGGACTGGGGACACGGCTGCCTCTGAACAGGTCGACATCATCGAGGGGAAAATGAAGTTTATCAAGGTCTCTTACAGGATAATGTCAGGGTGGCCGTCCATCAGCTGCAGCTCAGTAGAAGCTGGGTGATGCAGCAGTTCAATGACCCGAAACATCAAAGTAAATCTACTACAGAGTGACTTCAAAAAAAGAAAATCCACCTGTTAGAGTGGTCCAGTCAAAGCCCTTAACCCAGTAGAGATACTGAGGAAAGACCTGAAGAGAGCTGCTCACACCACACATTGTAAGAGTATGTCTGAGCTGAAGCAGCTCTGTAGGACCAATCCAAAATTCCTCCTGAACATTGTGCAGGTCTGATCAGCAGCTACTGAAGGAGCCTGTTTGAGGTTATTGCTGCAAAAGGAGGTTCAACCAATTATTAAATCCAAGGTTCCACTTGCTTTTTCCAAAAGCATTGTGTTGTGTGATATTACCTTAAGCACATTGTGTTTGTCTACACTTGTGACTTCGATGAAGATCACAATATCACATTGTATGACCAATCAATACAGAAAACT